CCCCCCCCCCCCTGCCCCGACCGCCGCCGCCGCCGCCGCCCCGCCTCAACGCTGCCCTGCATGTGCCAACAGGAGCCAGGGCTTCTCGCTGCTGCCGGCGCACTCGATCCTCTCAAGTGTCCTGCCCTCTTTCTACATCCACGGGCAGGTGGGCAGCCGCTTTGAGTTCCCCTCGTGGCTGGGCCAGAACTCGACGGCCAGCCGGGGGCAGCGCCTGACGCGCGAGCACCACTCGCAGTCGCTCCTCGAGGTGTCGGCCTCGCGCACGGAATACCGGCTGGACTACATGCCGCACCTGATGGACCGCATTGTGACCCCCCTGCGGGAGGAGGGCACCGATGGCATCGACGCGGCCATCGGCATCATGGACGATTACACCATCCTGCGTAGCCAGCTGGATGACTTTGGCGATGTCAATGGCGACCCGCGCGGCGGCGCGGCCGCCATCCAGAAGATGACCCAAACCGGCCGCGTGACCATCCCCCTCGGGCCGAAGAAGATCCCCTTCGACACCCTGGGCACCCAGGTGAAGGCGGCCTTCACGCGGTCGTACAACTCCCGGCCCCATACCTTCGGGCACCTGGCCGGGGCGGCGGCCGTCGGCGGGTCATCCCGCACCCGGGCCAGCACCTCGACCGCTGGCCTGATGCCCGAGGACCCGGACTTCGAGCCGGAAGTCGTCGCCAGCGACAGCGACTCCGAGGCCGCCTCGGCCAGCGGCTCCGAGGAGAAGATCTTCACCGGGGCCCTGGCCAAGCGCCGGGTGCCCAAGAAGCGTGCCGGGGCCGCCCCCAAGAAAGCCCCTGCCACCAAGAAGGCCCGCTCGTGACCCGGCTCTCGCGTGCGCCGGTCCCCCCCGTCGCCTCGGTGGACCTCCCTTTCTGTCTCTCTCTCTCTCTCCCTCCCTCTCTCTCTCTCTCTCTCTCCTTTCCCTCCCCCTATATCGCCCCTTGTGCACCCCTTTCCTCCGCCTCCCCCGCCCCCGGCGAGGCCATTTGCGTGACAGAGGGGGACGTGCAGGAAAACATCAGTCCAATAGAATGCATGTCCTATCATTTGTTAGGCGCCCGCGCCGCTGTGGCCCTCCTCTCCCAACCTGGGGGGAAGGGGTCCGCTATCCCGAGGTGCCGGCGTGTGGCCTCCGGACTGAGGATGGTGCTGGGAGGCAAGGCGCCCGGGAAATCCCGCGTCGCGGTCCGTGGAGCTGGGGTCATGGCCGGGGAGTCTAGCATCCGAGCGGCCGCGGCCAAGCACTCGGCAAATGCGACATGGAGGCTGGACAAGTTGCGAACGCGCTGCAGCAGCGTCCTCGCGTGGGGGCATTCCCTGGAGTCGGGTGCCAATATGTGAAGAGGGCGCGAATGGGCGCGTGCGTGCGTGCGTGCGTACGTGTGCGTGTGCGTGTGCGTGTGCGTGTGCGTGTGTGTGAGCAGGCGAGCGGGTGGATGGGTGCCACTGGAGGTGTACGCACTGGAGCGTGAGCCCCCTCGGGGGATATGTTCGATTGAAGACCCTCGGGCCGATGGAGGACACGAAGTGCTGGCGAAAGGCCGTACAGTGGCCGAACCAGGCGTCCAGGAAGAGCGACGCGGTTTCGGCCGCAGAAGCCTGGTCCAAGAGAAGGCCGGCACATGGGTCAGCAAGACAGCCCTGCCATTGTGTGTGTGTGGAGAGAGAGAGAGAGAGAGAGAAGGGACAAAGGGGCCAGACCAAAGGGCCTTCCGCGGCCCGGGGAGCAGCATGCCGACACGTACTGCCACACTATCATGGGCAAGGATGGCGGCTTGGGAGGCGTCCAGCGCCGGGGCCCGAGCTGGCCCCGTCGCATGGGACTCCAGGCAAAAGTCGCAAAATAGCAGACGCGCGGCGGCGGCCGGGCTCGGAGTACTCCGACCGGCCAGGAGCGGCCGGAAGGCGAGCACATCACACACCGGCCGCAAGGAGGCATGGCTGTGGGCGAACATGCGCTCGGCAAGTTCCAGCCGCACCGCGTGGATGGGGACATACTGTCATGCAGGGTGTTAAAAGGGCAAATGGCATGGTCGTGGCTGCAGGGGCCGGCGACGCACGGATAGGAGGTGGGCCCGGTCGGCGGCGTCTGCACGCGCCAGACAGAGGGCCGCCATCTCGGTCATCTTAGTAGGCATGCCTGCCAGCAATTCGACGGCCAGACACTGTGTGTGTGTGTGTGTGTGTGTGTGTGTGTGCCAGCATGGGGCAGATCCAGGGGCCAGGCAAGGGGGGGGGGAGGGCGGTCGGAGCAAGCCAGGCCAACAGGCGTGAGTAGGAGACGAAGTTCGCAGATGGGACAGAGCGGGGACCATCCAAAGTGGCCAGCCGGCCAACACGCACCCCGGTCAACAGACGCATGAGGCCCCGGACCAGGGACTCGGGCAGATGCTCGGCTCGAGCCAGCAGGCCCATCAAGTGGTCCGGGTACCGGGAGTTGGCGTGCCACCGGGTTACCAGCCGACACAGGGCCCCGGTTCGCAGGGGAAAGTGCCCAGGGCACCGGTACGCGGCGGCCAGCTCGGCCAGGGCGCAATCCGCGAAGAGCTCCACAAAGTGCTGGAAGGCCGACAGGTGCACGGCCCCGGTGGACCCCCGCGCCGAGGTCGGCAGGAAGTGCATGGATGCCTTGCCCTGGGGCTGGTGGAAGTCCGTGAAGTCCAGCTCCAGCTCGGCCGCCGCCAAGACCGGGGCCCTTGGCGAGCGGACCCCAAGCCGGGGGCGCTTGCTCGGGGTCGGGGTCGAGGCCCGGGACCGGACCCGGGGGAAGTCCTCCAGCACCGCCTCGCCGGCTGACAGCGGGTACCGGTCCGGGTCCACACGCAGGAGGATCTCCTCGAAGCTGCCCCGGTCTGGCAGGCGCCGCGCGAAGAAGGCGTCGAACTGCCGGCCGGAGGGTGTGGTGTCAGGCGCCGAAGAGAGGAGCAGGGGGGCGGGAGGGCGGCAACGAGCGGGCATGCGCGGGTGGCGATGTGTGTGTGTGTGTGTGTGTGCCGGCGCACCGCTTCGATCATCGGCTGAACCGAGTACATGCTCCCCATGAGCAGGCGGATTGCGAAGCACTTGCGCTCGGCATGAACCGTCTGGGCCTTGGGCTGCGGCTGGAGCAGGCTGTATATGAGCGCCGCAATGTAGGCGCTGCTTGTGGCGCGAGGCCGGCCGGGAGCCAACCGGAGGGGGGGGGGGGGCGGAGCGTCAGTGCGCGGCCGGTGGGGGACATCGTGCCAAGGCCAGGGCGGGCGGGGTCGCAGGGCGCACGGTCCAGGGCGGGCGTCGGCCCCATTGAAGTTTGTGATGGTGTTCCAGATGAAATCTACAAGCAGCCGGGTCAGGATCGTGCGCGGGGTCGTCGAAGGGCGCATGTGAGGGGCGCATGCTCCGGCGCGCACACGCGTACCATGGTTATTGGACACCAAGTCGCCCAGGGTGAAGTGGATGATGCGCGACGCTTCGTCGCTGGAATCGCCGGAGGCCGGGCCACCGCCCCGGGCGCCGGGGCGCTCGGCCAGGGCCCACAGCCACACGGACGCATGGAGCACGGCCCGGTGCCGGGGGAGAATGTGGTCCAGGCGGACGGTCACCCGGCGACCGGCCGTCAGAAGGAGCTGGGCCTTGCTCCGAGAGCGGCCAGCGGCACAGGGCGGGTCAGGACCGGGAGCAGGGGGCCGGCGGATGCTGGTGCGCCGGCTGCCGGCAATAGGCGAGGAGAATGGCGAGGGCGGGCGTGTCAGGACGCACGAAGAGCTGCACCGGCCGACCGGACCGGCTGGGTGGGCTTGCGAAGAGGCGCTCGATGCGCAGCAGGTCCAGCGACGCCTGGAGGGCGGCTTCCTCGGAGAGGATGTCATGGGCGGCCGGCGACGGCCCCTGGCCCCCCTGAGAAGGGGGCATCTGGAGAGACATTGGTAATGGTGGCGGTGTGTGTGCGGGGGGGG